AAAAAAAATGGCTTCTTTTTTTTTCTGAAGATCAAAAAAAATGAGGGAAAAAAAATAATTTTGACTTTTATATAAATTATCATTGGCCAAAACGACGTCGTTTCAATAAAACCCAAAACGACGCCGTTTTAACCAAAGAAGGATCCGCGCATTGACCCGAACCCGACCCGAGATCCGCGCAACCCGACCCAACGACCCGTTCCAGCCAGCCTTGAACCGGTTCATACGAACCGCAGTGGACCGGACTGAACCGGTCAGATCGCCCGGACCGCCGATCCGATTGCCGAACCGGTCAGATAGCCCGAACCGCCGATCCAACCGTCGAACCGGTCAGACCGCCCGGACCAGCGTTGACCGGACCGTTGACCGGTCCGGTTTAGGTAAAAAAAAATTTTTTTTTCTAATTTTTTTATTATTATTATTATTTTTGTTATTTTAAATATATTTTTATATTTTTGCATGATAAATTTATAAATTTGTTAGAATAATTGTTTAATCGTTTTAATAATAATAAAATTAAAAACAAATAATAATTAAAATATATTAAAATGCTTTAAAATAATAATAATAATTTTTCCTGCCTAGATGTCGGAGGGAATAAAAATATTTTTCTAGAACAATAATTCTGCCTAGATGTTGGGGAATTATTGTTAATAATAAATAAACATAAGAAATTTTTAATTAATTTTCAAAAAATTATTAAAATCGAACTTGCTTCAAAAATCCGCCTAGATGTTGGGGATTTTTAGAGATGTTCGTATTTTCTTAAAAACGAAACCTTAAGCGCTATTTCTTAATCCTAGGTTTTTAAAACCCTTAAAAATCCAAAATCCATTAAATCCAAAACCGCTCGAAATCCAAAATCCTTGAAGTCCAAAGTCCGAAAAATCCTAAGGACACGTGTGAAAATTCTATTGGAAGCAATTTGTTCCCGAATGCCGCCTAGATGATGGGGTATTTAAGAAATTTTACTTCATTAAGTCTTTTCACACGAGTTCATAATTCATATTAATAATAAGATTAATAAATAAAAAAAATATAATAAAATTGGGATTTTAAATATAAACAGTCGCACCTAAGCTCTGCCTAGATGTTGGAGAGTCGGGGTGGTCTCATTATATTTAAGATCAACTCTTAAATTGCATTTTATTAAAAATAAGATTAATAAATAAAAAGTATAATAAAATTGGGATCTTAAATATAAACAGTCGCACCTAAGCTCTGCCTAGATGTTGGAGAGTCGGGGTGATCTCATTATATTTAAGAATCCAACTCTTAAATTGCATTTCATTTTACATGATATTCATTAGCATACATACGTTATCGTATTATCATCAATAATTGTCTGCATTATTCTCTCTTTAATTTACTCATGGTACTCTGCCTAGATGTTGGAGAGTCACCAACAATTTTCTGTAAAGAGTGTTATTTCATTTTAAAGGATTGTTGTGTTAAATCTTAAGCGAAAATGGTTACTTTAAATTCTGCCTAGATGTTGGAGAATTTTAAGATAATTCTTTAACTTAAAGATTTTCTCAATATTCCTAAATAAAAATTTTAGCAAAAAAAAAAAAAGAATATTTTTTTAAATAAAGGAAATTAATGTTAAATTTCAAATTAAAACCATTTTTATCCGACATTGAAAATAGCGCATAGTTGAATGGTACCAATTTATGGACGTTGTGGGGGTGCTAATCCTTCCCCACGCGTAACCGACTCCCGGACCTAACCTGATTTTTCGTAGACCGAAATATATCTTTTTGATAAACTTTAAACAACCCGTTTTTATAGTTTTATTAAAAAGATAAACTTTTGGGTGGCCAATCACACCCTAATAAAGATTGGTGGCGACTCCCTCTTTTTTTTTTTTTTTTCTTTCTTTCTCAATTTTAAAACAACTCGTTTTTACGTCTGGCGGTCTCAAAACTGTTACGACAGCTTGGCGACTCCACTGGGGACTTATTTGAGAGTCAGGCCAAAATTTTAATTATGCGCTATTGACAATGGTTGGATTTAATTGATTTTATTTGATATTTAATGTAATTTCTTTTATTTTAATTTTTTTTTCCTGAAAACAGTCATGTTAATAAATGAAATAAATTATGTGCTAGTTATTACTTCATTTTGATTTTGGTTTTTGATTTATTACCTTGCACACATTTTGCATATTCACTTGCATACATGAGCTCTATACCCGGGCTCCGTCCTTTTAGGAGGAAGTGAAGTAGCTACGCTCTCGTGAGGTGATAACCTCCGCATTTGCTAGCGAAACACTTTCACTCAGATTGAACCCGTTCCGTTAGTAGCCTGTAATGGGTGAGGATCGGGGAGCCTTACTAGTCTATAATGGACGATGATGTGAGGAATAGTCTGGGAACCTTTAGACATGCAAATCTTAACCCAGCATATAATGAGCCGTAAAGTCCAACTTTAGGATAGAGCCATACTGTCCCTTTTGTGAAAAGATTACCTAAATTAGGACACTATGTATATTCTGTTATGCTTGTTCATTCATTTACTCAGTTTTATTTATTTGTTTTATTTACATTATTGATTTGTTTTATTGTCTTCAATTTTGTTACATGCATCATATAGGTACCATTTTTAAAAGGGTATTGTTTTGGACCAATCAAAAAAAAAAACTTTCAAAAAACCTAAAGGATGTCATCTGTGTGTAAGAGCTACTTAGAGGTCAAGAGCCATTCAGAAGGTATTCAGAGGAAAGAAGGAGATTGCTTAGTTGAGGGTCACATATCGGTGCTACTACAGTCAGTACATGTGGATCTCAGTCAGAATAATATATCAGAATTGGAAGCCATTTGGAAGCAGTGGAGAATGGAGAAAAAAGAATCTTTTTCCAAGAAATACGGGGATGTGGCACTGCTTATGTCTGTGAAGGTTGATGAACAGCTAATGAGAGCCGCAATACAGTTCTGGGATCCATCTTATCGATGCTTTGTATTCAACCAAGAAGACTTGGCTCCCACGATCGAAGAATATTCTTCTTTACTCCGGATAGAGTCTACCAATCAAGACAAGATCTATTGGAAAGAGCATAAGACCACTGGATATAGAAAAAAATTAGCCAAGATCATGCAAGTGGAGGTTGAAGAGATAGACAAGCACAAGAAAGAAAAAATAGGGTTGACATCATTCCATCAGCTTTTCTGCTCGAGTACATAAGAAAGTATATTGATACCGATCAGGGGTCGGATGTGTTTGCTTTGGCCATCTATGGATTGATGATATTCCCTAAGGTTTTAGGACATATAGAAGCATCAGTGGTTGATTTCTTTGAGCAATTAGATAAAGGTATTAACCCTTCACCAACTATTTTGGCAGAAACTATTAGATCACTTAATTTTTGTCGAAGAAAGGGTGAAAGACGATTTATGGGGTGTGCTCAGTTACTATTTATCTGGCTCAGAAGCCATTTTTGGGGAAAAGAGAAGACATCGTTTCGACCATTCTCCGTGCATTTCAGTCCTATCAAGGAGTTTATGACTAAAGAATGGAGAAAAGATTGGACAAAAAGTCAGTGGTTGGCATTCTTTTTAAAGCTCACTAGCGAAGATGTAACATGGAGGGCACCATGGATGCTTCCGATGGCTATCTTATATAGTTGTGGAGACGAGTCATGGGTACCTCTGTTAGGAATATGGGGGGCAGTGAGTTACGCGCCCCTTATGGTTCAAAGACAATATGATTCACGACAGTTCATCCCTATGACTCATAGGCTTAGTTCACTCGAGTTTGATTATGGAACACCCGGTTATATGAGAAGGGTTCGTGAAATCATCAAAGCATGGAAGCAGGTCAACCGAATGAGCCCAGCTAGACTCGCTGATAATGTTGCTGAAGGTTACCTTACGTGGAGGATGAAAAGAGTTAACGAAATTAGGCCTCTACCAGCTGATGTTTCAGAGAAGTTGTTGGCTCCTGTTTCAGTATCGGTAATGTCGACTCTTGAGATCGCTCAACGAGAGTTTGAGATTGAAAAGAAAAGGTTAAAGAAAGAAAGGGTGGCTATGATGGATCAAGTTAACCAATTAAGATATGATTTGATGATGAAAAATGATGTAGTACAGAAGTTGACTAAAGAACGAAAAGTATTGAAAGAGGATCTGCAAGATTTGCATCAAGAAAATAAGAAATTAAGGTTGGATAGTAGACCTTTGAAGGGATCCAAGAAGGATGTGGAAGAACTACGAGACATGGTGGAATATTGGAAGAACAGAGCTCGAGAGAACAAAGAAATGATCTTCACACTCACCAAAGAGCAACATGAATGAAAGGAAAAACTTTCAGGGGCCTCTGAAAAGGTAACAAGGCACCAAAGAGAAAGTGAAAAGCTAAAAGCTGAGCTAATGAGGGAACAAAGCAAGAACTCTGATTTGCAAAGCAAGAAAAAAGCCTTAGAGCATGAATTAATGAGTTTGGAGCTTCAATTGACAAGCAATCAGAGGCACATAAATGAGATTTTGACTGAGTGGCAAGATAGAGAAGATTATTGGGCTCGCACTTGTAATATGGAGGTAGATGCTCGAGAGATGTGGAGAGCAGAAAGTTTAGGGAGGCAGCAATACATCGAACACCTGACTCCTCAAATCTACAAGGCTGTTCAAAAAGCAGGCAACATGGTTGAAAAGGCGAAAGCACTGGAACGAGAGATTGTACCAACCCAAGGCCACAGTCAAAGATTATTGCACTTTTTTCATAAAGCTAGGGAGCAATATGCTCAAATCAAATGTTTTTATGGCTTTAATACAAGAATGATTGGATGATGTGTAAAGACTCCCATGGTTAATGAAAGTTTCTTTTTGTTTCGATCGATCCAAGATAATACCCTAATTTGCATTTCATTCATTTCATGCATGCATTTTTATACTAACAATAATATCAACGACATTATATCATGCGATCTAATTCGTGGTTGATAAACTAAGGTTCAAGGATAGCAAAGCCAAGGAACCACAACCCGTCAATTTCACATAGATATAATACTCGTTCCCAGACTCGAGCCATGGCAGAAGAGAATACAGCTAGGTTTGAAAGGGTCGAAAGGGTACAGGAAGAGATACAAGAAAGAGTGATAGAAATACAACAAAGAATTGAAGCACAAATGGCTGAATTAAGACAACTGTTGATTGGATCAATGAAAGGAAAAGGAGTCGCTGGTGTATCTAGGACAGGAGATGAGGTTAATGTGGAAGAGCCATTATACCCTCCGGGATTCACTCCACCTCAAGTTCAGATTCAAGTTCCTCGGGGTATACACATACCACCACCAAGTGCGCAGCCGTACCCCTATGTCAATCATTCTGCAAATCAGCAGCCGACCCACTTGAATGCCAATTCGGGACCCATCCCAGTCGATCCCATCATGGTACCAAATCTTGACGACCCTGTTGAGCAAGAGAAGTCTCACGAAATGTCAGAACCTGTTATAAATTCAAAAATTCAAGATAAATATGACCAGCTTGAAGAGAGGCTTAAAGCGGTTGAAGGTAATGACACTTATGGGGTTATTGACGCCAACGAGCTTAGCCTAGTGCCTGACTTGGTTATCCCACCAAAATTTAAGACCCCAGATTTTGAAAAATACGATGGGACAAAGTGTCCATCTGCTCATATCACCATGTTTTGTAGAAAGATGACGGGTTATACCCATAATGACAAACTATTGATACACTATTTTCAGGATAGTTTGACTGGTTCAGCAGCTAAATGGTACGTGCAATTAGATCGAAATAAGATCAGTTCATGGAAAAACTTGGCCAAAGTTTTTCTTGCTCAGTATAAGCACGTCTTGGATACAGCCCCTGATAGACTGTCATTACAAAATATGGAGAAAAAGTTGACGGAAACCTTCAAAGAATACGCACATCGATGGAGAGATGCAGCAGCCCAAGTACAACCACCATTGACTGAAAAAGAGATAACCGTGCTATTCGTCAATACACTGAAGGCCCCGTATTATGACAGATTGGTGGGAAATGCCACGAAAAACTTCTCTGACATGGTAATTTCAGGGGAGATGATAGAAAATGCTATCAAAAGTGGTAAAATTGAAGGGTCTGAAAAGAAGATAGCTACATTAAGGAAGAAAGAGCAGGAGGCACATGTTGTCACTCACACAAATCCCCCACACCATCCTTTTGTTTCATATAACCCACACCCCCATTACTACTCTACCATAAACCAAATCTCTCAACAACCATACCATTACCGAGCCCCCCAACAATCGTTACCCAGATCAAGTTTTAGCCCTCAACCATCCAATTACACCCCAGCACCTCCAGCTCGACCATTTACTCGACCAACCTACCCAAACAGCAATCAAAGAAACTCACAGAATAATAACAATCGAGAAAGACCTCATTTTGACCCAATTCCCATGACGTACACAGATTTGTATCCTCGACTTGTTGAAAAACATCTGCTTGCTCCTGTTATTATTGAACCTTTGAAACCTCCGTTTCCCAAATGGTATGACCCCAATGCACATTGTGATTATCATTATGGGAATCCAGGTCATTCCACTGAGCATTGTATTGCTTTGAAGCATAAAGTGCAGGGGTTAATCAATGAAGGAGTATTAAATTTTGATACCAGCCAACAAGGGACTCCAAATGTCAATGGAAACCCTCTACCAAATCATACCAGACCATCAATAAATGCTTTGATTGATGGGCAAACAAGTTACGTGAAAAGAAGAATAGAAGAGGTCAAAACTCATATGGCTAAAGTGTTTGAAACCTTGGTCAAAGCTGACATGCTGAAGTCGATAGAACCTCAAAATTACTCTGAAACGGTTAACTCAACTGAAAGCTGCCATTATCACAGAGGTGCTCTGGGGCATTCTATTGAAAACTGTCACCAATTCCGTCAAGAAGTGCAAAAATTGATGGATGAAGGTCGAATAGAGTTTTACCAAGAGAGAGAAGAGTTGGTGAAAGTGTCTACCATTGATTCAAAGTATAAGTTTGGACGTAGACCAGTAACTATCTATTATGATGAAAAGCCAACATCGAAGCTAGAAAAACCTGTCTCTCGACCAGTGGTGACAATTAAAGTTTCTGGCCCTTTTCCATATCAGAATGATAAAGCAGTACCTTGGAAGTACGATTATGATGTCGTAGTCAACCCAGATACTGCCAACATAACGGGTGTAGGAGGCATAACTCGAAGTGGGAGGTGTTATACCCCAGAAGCTCTAGAAAAAGCTAGAAAGGAAAAAGCCAAGGTAGGAGAAGAAAATGAAAGTCATAGTGATCTTGACACAACCCTAGAAAAAGAATGGCAGAAGTCAGTATCTGAAAGTGAAGCAGGTGAATTTTTAAAGTTAATAAAACATAGCGAGTATAGCGTGGTAGAACAGCTTAACAAGATGCCAGCTAGAATTTCGCTATTGTCATTATTGCTCAGTTCAGAGTCACACCGTAATGCTTTGCTGAAAGTGTTAAATCAAGCATATGTGTCTCACAATGCTTCTGTTGAATATGTGGAACAGCTTGTTGGCAATCTGACGATTTCAAACTATATCTCTTTCAGTGATGAAGAGATTCCTCCTGAAGGTAGAGGAAGTACCAGGGCTCTTCACATTACTGTGAAATGTAAAAGTCATATAATGGCTAAAGTTTTGATTGATAATGGCTCATCCATCAATGTTATACCTGCGACTACTCTGGCAAAACTCCCTGTTGATGGATCTTATATGAAACCTAGTCATATGATAGTGAGAGCCTTTGATGGAACCAGAAGAGAAGTGTTGGGAGATATAGAAGTGCCATTACAGATTGGCCCATGTACTTTCAACGTGAAATTTCAAGTTATGGACATCTCTCCTTCATATAGTTGTTTATTGGGTAGACCGTGGATCCATATGGCAGGTGCTGTCCCATCCTCATTACATCAAAAAGTTAAATTTATTGTTGAAGGGAAGCTAACATGTGTGGCAGGAGAAGAAGATTTATTGGTAACTCAACCGATAAATACTCCTTATGTGGAATCAGCAGATGAAGCTTTAGAATGTTCTTATAGATCTTTCGAGATTGCCAATGCAACATATATAGCTGAAGGATCTAAATTATATTCACCACACTTATCTGCGACTACTAAAATGGTAGTCAAACAGCTTACCAAGATGGGATGGCGACCTGAAGTCGGACTTGGGAAGAACCTGCAAGGAATTACGAAGCCATCGGCCATATATGAAAAGAGAGACAGGTTTGGCTTGGGATATAAGCCAACAAGAGGGGACAGAGTAAGAATGATGAATGAGAAAAGAGATAAGAGGATAGCTAATCTTAAGGGATATGAGCTGGAGTCAGAGCCGATAGTCATTCCTTACCTTTATGATTCTTTTCACTCGGGAGGATACATTTATTCAGATTTACCGAGAGCCCCAAGTGCAGGATTCATGGAAAAATTTTCAGAGCTGGCCATTCAAATGGTGGATGATGGAGAAAAGAAGAGTCGAAGTGAAGAGCTATTCGTGTACCCTTGTCCTTCAGATTTTGAGTTGGATAATTGGAAAGTTACAGAGCTACCTGTTGCCTTTAAAACTTTGGAAAAGTAATGTGAAACTTAAAATCTCTAATTACTTTCTACGAGTATTAGGAGATCTTTTATGGTGTGTTTATGTTTGTCATTTTAATAAAAGACTTAGAAGATGCATCCGTATTTTTTCTGTCATTTTTATCTTCGTTTTACCTTTCATCCTTTTCTTTCCTACATTTTCTTGCCATTCCATTTTTGTGTGCCAATATTCTCTCCATATTACCCTTTTGCAGGGTCTCAAACAATGAACATGAGGATAATCATGGCATTAATCTCGGATTTGATTTTGAAAATTTAATTCATGTTGATGAACTTGATAGTGAGGAAGATTCAGATAACTATACACTGCCTCTTGATTTGTTAAAATTAATAGAACATGAAGATAAGCCAATTGAACCCCACCAAGAAATTACTGAATCAGTAAATTTGGGAGATGGTGAGAATAAAAGAGAGGTCAAAGTTGGTACATCTCTTTTACCAGCTGAAAGACAGAAGCTAGAAGAGCTGCTACGAGAATATGTAGATGTGTTCGCATGGACTTACCAGGATATGCCAGGACTCAGCACTGATATTGTAGAGCACAAGTTACCTTTAAAACCAGGATGTAAGCCGATGCAGCAAAAGCTAAGGCGCATGAAACCAGAGATGCTGCTGAAAATTAAAGAGGAAGTGAAGAAACAATTCGATGCTGGATTTTTAGAAGTGGCAAAATATCCTGAATGGGTAGCCAACATAGTGCCAGTTCCTAAGAAAGATGGAAAAGTGAGAATGTGTGTTGATTATCGAGATTTGAATAGAGCAAGCCCTAAGGATAACTTTCCTTTACCTCACATCGATACTCTAGTGGATAATACTGCTAGGCACTCCACATTTTCCTTTATGGATGGTTTCTCAGGCTATAATCAGATCAAGATGGCTCGAGATGATATGGAGAAAACTACATTTGTGACCATGTGGGGAACATTCTGTTACAAAGTCATGCCTTTTGGGTTGAAAAATGCTGGTGCTACTTATCAAAGAGCAATGGTGACTCTTTTTCATGACATGATGCATAAAGAGATAGAAGTGTATGTAGATGATATGATTGCAAAATCTCGTGAAGGAAAGGATCATATAGTCAGTCTCAAAAAGCTGTTCGACAGGTTGAGAAGGTTTCAGTTGAAGTTGAATCCTGCCAAATGTACATTTGGAGCCAAATCAGGAAAATTATTGGGCTTTGTAGTCAGTGAAAAAGGAATTGAAGTTGATCCAGATAAGATACAAGCCATTCAAAACTTATCTCCTCCTCATACCTCAAAAGAAGTGCGAGGTTTCTTAGGGAGATTAAATTATATTGCTCGCTTCATCTCTCAACTCACTTATAAGTGTGATCCTATTTTTAAGCTTCTCAGAAAACATGATCCTGGAGAATGGAATGATGAATGCCAAGAAGCTTTTGATAAGATCAAAGAATACTTGTCAAATCCACCTGTGTTGGTGCCACCAATGCCAGGAAAACCTTTGATTTTGTACTTGACAGTGCATGAAAATTCAATGGGATGTGTGCTGGGGCAAAGAGATGAAACTGATAAGAAAGAACGAGCAATTTACTACTTGAGCAAGAAGTTCACTGATTATGAGTCAAAGTATTCACCATTAGAGAAGATGTGTTGTGCATTAACCTGGACAGCTCGAAGGCTTAGACAATACATGCTTTATCACACTACTTGGCTCATAGCAAAGTTGGATCCTATTAAGTATATCTTCGAAAAGCCCTCATTGACAGGAAGAATAGCAAGATGGCAAGTTATGCTTTCAGAATATGATATCATTTACGTGACTCAAAAAGCTATTAAAGGGAGTGCAATAGCTGAATTCCTTGCTGATCGTGCAGTCGAAGATTATGAGCCAATGAAATTAGATTTTCCTGATGAGGATGTGATGGCCATTGAAGAAAATAAACCTGTTGAAAAATCATGGAGGATGTATTTTGATGGAGCTGCTAATGCTTTGGGTCATGGTATTGGGGCAATTTTGATATCTCCTGATGGACACTATTACCCCATCACAGCCAGATTGAATTTTAATTGCACAAACAATGTGGCTGAATATGAGGCCTGTGTTATGGGTTTACAAGCAGCAATTGAAAAGAAGATCAAAGTGTTAAATGTGTTTGGAGATTCAGCTTTAGTCATCTATCAGTTACGAGGTGAATGGGAAACAAGAGACTCTAAGTTGATTCGATACCATAAATACATCTCTGAGTTGGTCAAGCAATTTAAAGAAGTTCAGTTTGAGCATCTACCTAGAGAGGAAAACCAAATTGCTGATGCACTGGCTACTCTAGCTGCAATGATCAAAATAGATGCAAATACTGAAATCCAACCCATTAAGCTGGATGTGAAAGATGTACCAGCACATTGCTCAAGTGTTGAAAAAGAAATTGATGGAAAGCCATGGTATCATGATATCATGCAATACATTAAAAGCCAGCAATACCCAGAACATGCAACTGAAAATGATAAGAGGACTATTAGAAGATTGGCTATGAATTTCTTCATTGACGGAGATATCCTTTACAAAAGAGGTCGAGATCAAGTGCTCTTAAGATGTGTAAATGCAGCTGAAGCAAAGAAGATTATTGAAGAAGTGCATGATGGAGTTTGTGGGGCACATGCAAATGGTCATATGATGGCTAGACAAATTATGAGGGTTGGCTATTATTGGTTGACAATGGAGAGTGACTGTATTGATTATGCTAGGAGATGTCATAAATGTCAGATTTATGCTGACAAGATTCATGCTCCACCATCAACATTACATGTTTTAGCTCCTCCCTGGCCATTCTCAATGTGGGGCATGGATGTCATTGGTCCCATCACTCCAAAAGCTTCGAATGGGCATAGATTCATTTTTGTGATGATTGATTACTTCACCAAATGGGTAGAGGCTGCATCATATGCTAGCGTGACCCGATCTGTGGTATGTAAGTTCATGAAAAGAGAGATAATATGCAGATATGGGCTTCCGGAGACAATTATTTCTGATAATGCCAAAAACTTGAACAACAAAATGATGAATGAAGTATGCACTCAGTTCAAGATCCGCCATCGTAATTCGACACCATATCGTCCAAAAATGAATGGGGCAGTGGAGGCTGCGAATAAGAATATCAAGAGAATCCTGGAGAAAATGACTGAAACTTACAAAGATTGGCATGAGAAGTTATCTTTTGCCTTGCATGCTTATAGAACATCAGTCAGAACGTCTACTGGAGCCACACCGTTCTCTTTGGTATATGGTATGGAAGCTGTGCTACCAGTCGAAGTGGAAATTCCCTCACTGAGAGTCCTGATGGAAGTGGAGTTAGAGGAAGCAGAATGGGTCCGAAATCGCTACGAGCAGTTAAACCTTATCGAAGAGAAAAGACTGTCAGCACTTTGTCATGGTCAATTATATCAAAAGAGGATGATGAGAGCACATGACAAGAAAACTCGTCCCCGTTGCTTTAGGGAAGGAGACTTAGTGCTAAAAAGATTCCTTCCAAATCAACATGATAATCGGGGGAAATGGACACCAAATTGGGAAGGCCCGTATGTGGTGAAAAAGGCTTTTTCTGGCGGGGCATTGATTTTGACAGAAATGGACGGAGGTGATTTGCCTGCCCCAATAAATTCAGATGTTGTGAAGAAATATTTTGCTTAAAAAAAAAGAAAAAAGAAAAAAGAAAAAAATGATGACTTATCTAAGTTGAAAACCTGAAAAGGCGGCTTAGATGTGAAGTAAAAGCATCATCAAGAAAAGATCTCACAATGCAGGGGCAAGTGTAGTTTGATGAACTCTGAATAATCAAGGAAGTCATCTGATTTAGTTTTAGAGAAAGAATCTGAGAATATTTTGTTCATGATTATCTTGTGATCATTCTTTTAACACCTTTATTTCAATTCAAACACTTTGACATACACTTGTTATCAGCCATAAGAAATACATTATCCTTCATTTGAAATAATGCCTATCCTTTCCTTTATCCTTATTTGATATTTTTTATCCATCAGAGAAATGTGTGATTGCATTTTATTTGTCTTGAACTTAAAATGATGAAAAGAAAAACAAACATGAAAGATCTCAGCATTACTTTTAACGTTGACAAAGGCGAATGAAAAAGGATGAGAAAAGCATGACAAGACATTGAGGTTGCAGACTTTTGAAGAAAAAAAATATTATGGTCAGATGTTGAAGACAGATTGGTCATATAAGAATTTGGATAAAAGAAGCTGAAAGCGAGAGATTTTGAGAACCTTTTTACTACAATGAACGATTTTGATTGCATTACATGCATTGCATCATGAGCACTCAGTACATGCATCCATGAGAAGTTGTAGCAAAGATAGAAATTTTCCTTTTCTTAATGAAAAAAACAAGATTTTTGTAAAGATAATGATCAAACAAAGGAATTCAAAAGAGAGGAATTTACTTGTTCAAGGATGAAAACTCAAATTTGAAAACAAATGAGATTTTTAAAGTTGTTGAGCCTCTGTTGAGAGGAGCTTTTCCGAAATGAGAATTTTTAAAGTTGTAGAGCCTCCTGTTGAGAGGGAAGCTTTTCAAGAAAGAATTTTAAAGTGTGGAGCCTCTTGTTGAGGAGGAGCTTTTTTCAAGAGGAATTTTATAGTTGTAAGCCTCCTGTTGGAGGAGCTTTTTCAGAAAGAATTTAAGTTGTGGAGCCTCTGTTGAGAGAGCTTTTTCAGAATGGAATTTTAAAGTTGTGGAGCCTCTGTTGAGAGGAGCGTTTTTCAAGAAAGAACTTTAAGTGTTGGAGGCCCTCTGTTGAGAGGAGTTTTTTCAGAAAGAAATTTAAAGTTGTTGAAGCCTCTGTTGAGAGGAGCTTTTTCAAGAAAGAATTTTAAAGTTGTGAGCCTCTGTTGAGAGGAGCTTTTTCAAATGAGAATTTTAAAGTTGTGAGCCTCTGTGAGAGGAGCTTTTTCAAGAAGAATTTTAAAGTTGTGGCCTCTGTTGAGAGGAGCTTTTCAATGAGAATTTTAAAGTTGTGAGCCTCTGTTGAGAGGAGCTTTTCAAGAAAGATTTTAAAGTTGTGGAGCCTCTGTTGAGAGGAGCTTTTTCAAGAGAATTTTAAAGTTGTGGCCTCTGTTGAGAGGAGCTTTTTCAAGAAGAAATTTTAAAGTTGTGAGCCTCTGTTGAGAGGAGCTTTTTCAAGAAGAATTTTAAAGTTGTTGAGCCTCTGTTGAGAGGAGCTTTTTCAAGAAAGAATTTTAAAGTTGTGGAGCCTCTGTTGAGAGGAGCTTTTTCAAAATGAAATTTTAAAGTTGTGGAGCCTCTGTTGAGAGGAGCTTTTTCAAGAAAGAATTTTAAAGTTGTTGAGCCTCTGCTGAGAGCAGAGGAGCTTTTTCAGATGAGAATTTTAAAGTTGTGGAGCCTCAGTTGAAGAGGAGCTTTTCCAGATGAGATTTTAAAGTTGTTGAGCCTCTGCTGAGAGGAACTTTTTTCATGAGAATTTTAAAGTTATGGAGCCTCTGCTGAGATGAGCTTTTTAAGATGAGATTTTAAAGTCGTTGAGCCTCTGCTGAGAGGAGCTTTTCCAAGAGAATTCACTTTCGGACAAAATCGTTGTCTTTGTCTTTGCCCTATTCCTGATTCTCAGTAATGTGCAAAGAGGGGCAGCTGTAGACACCGGTTTTGTCCGGGTCTACCGTTTGATTTTTAATAATAATATTTAACAAAACAAACAAAAAAACAAAAACAAACAAAACAAACAAAAAAAAATGAAAATAAGATAAAAGTCAAGGGGTTGGTACGGCGCCGAACTGGTCCGACCAACTACCCAACCGGCCTTCTGACAAGCCACCAATCACGGACGGTAGGTATGATTTTCGAATCCCAGAAAATCTGAAATTTGAATCTCAAACAAGCTCTATAAATAGAGCTTGCAAACCAGAGGGAAAAGAGGGGGAGGACCAAAAAAGAACGGCCAAAAAAAAAATCTACAGAAACGAAAACAAAAACCAAAAAAATAACACAGTCCTCGCCGTAGGCGAGGAACCTCAGCGCCGAGCCACCTGCAAAAGCCAAGAAATCATCAGTTTCACCGAAAAAAAAAGAGAGAAGAAAAACCGAAAACTTCAAAACCCGATCTACGCGAATCAAGGCCGTTTTCGGTGAAAAGGAGGTCAGATCTGTGCTCAGGGGGTCGAGAAGAGTTCGTGGGAGAATTTTGGGGTTTTTCCGACCATCGGAGACGACGACCCCGGCGAACGACGGCGGTACCGACGGCCGGCCGGCGTGCGGTTGAAGAAGAAGAGAGAAGAAAAAAAAAGGGCTTCTTTTTTTTTCTGAAGATCGAAAAAAATGACGAAAAAAAAATAATTTTGACTTTTATATAAATTATCATTGGCCAAAACGACGTCGTTTCAATAAAACCCAAAACGACGCCGTTTTAACCAAAGAAGGATCCGCGCGTTGACCCGAACCCGACCCGAGATCCGCGCAACCCGACCCAACGACCCGTTCCAGCCAGCCTTGAACCGGTTCATACGAACCGCAGTGGACCGGACTGAACCGGTCAGATCGCCCGGACCGCCGATCCGACCGCCGAACCGGTCAGAATAGCCCGAAACGCCGATCCACCGCCGAACCGGTAGACCGTCGTGACCAGCGTTGATCAGGGACCGTTTGATCCGGCTCCGGTTTAGGTAAAAAAAAATTTTTTTTTTCTAATTTTTTTTTTATTATTATTATTTTTTGTTATTTTTAATATATT